CATTTCACTTAACTTAATAATGAAATCAAGAAGACAATCGGATTGTAATGCTAATTGCCGGGGAAGATAACACTCTAACGTACAACTTAATTCACAATAAAATTCTGGAAAATTGAACTGACGACAAAAATTATGAAAAGAGTAGGCTATGTACATAGGATTCACAATTACTACATGGTTGATTTCTTAATTACAAGGGAAGATAACTCACTACAAATATGTTGAAATATGATCAAAATCAAACCCTTATTACATTTTGCAAATAAATTGTCTGGTTCTGCTTTCATGAAATCTGAAGACGATTTTAGGCGTTTCAGATTAGTGTTTGGCCAATCAATAAAAGTGGACACTATATCAGTTAAAGGGATACTACTTCTTAGAATTCATATTAAATCTAAATTCTCAAACTTAGCCAATAAGAGTCTATATTCATCAGTGGACTTACCTGGTGTCATAACTATACAACAGAATCCCTCTATAATCAGATAAATCCATAAAACAATGTTATAATTGATAACCGTTTTGAAGCGTTTTTCAATATTTATGTAGTATTCAGATTAAAGAGGAATTCTGGATTCTGTGTTAGAGTTATGGCACTGGGTAGGTCCAACTCTTAATGTTAAAGTTTAGAAATCTTAATTTGATGTTCATCCTAAGAGATAGTATTCCATAGTGAAATAGGCTTTTAGATATATCCATATCAGCAAAAAGGCTAGCGTGATGTGCTACAGGTTTCAAGTCGGATTCTGTCTTGACAGAGACAGTGTTTGATTATGGCGTTATATTGTCTAAAAATAAATAAACACTAACACTACTGAGATTTACACTGACTAAAAACACTAGTTATTTACTGTCTGTAAGAAATAAAGAAATAGGCATAAGCAAGGAAGCACAAGATATATGGATATACTATTTCTAACATTTATTAACTCAATGTTTCAAATGCTCATACAGACAGTGTTATCAAATATTATAAAGAATCACTAGAAATATAGATATACTAATTCTGACATTTATTAACTCAACGTTTTACATGCTCATACGGAGAGTGCTATCAAGAATGAGCATGATATTGTGAAACGTCGAGTAATAAATATCAGAAATAGTATATCTATACATCTAGTGATTCTTTATAAAATTTGATAACACTGTCTGTATGAGCATGTGAAACGCTGAGTTAATAAATATCAGAAATAGTATATCAATATATCTAGTGTTACTTTATAATATTTCATTACACTGTCTGTATGATCTTGTGAAACTTTGAGTTGAAAAATGTCAGAAATAGTATATCTATATATCTTGTGATTCTTTATAAAATTTGATAACACTGTCTGTATGAGCATGTGAAACGTTGAGTTAATAAATGTCAGAAATAGTATATCTATATTTCTAGTGATTCTTTATAAAATTTGATAACACTGTCTGTATGAACATGTGAAACGCTGAGTTAATAAATATCAGAAATAGTATATCAATACATCCAGTGATTCTTTACATTAGTTATTTTTCACTACACTATCTGTATGATCTTGTGAAACGTTGAGTTAATAAATGTCAGAAATAGTATATCAATATATCCAGTGATTCTTTACATTAGTTATTTTTCACTACTTAATTTATTTATATATTTCTTCCATAATACAAATTTGATTAAACTGAAGGAATATTGTTAGGCCTTTAATATTCTGGTACAGTGTGCCTAGGATATTTATGGATAAAAAACAAGTCTACTTCATAAAAAGAGATAACAGGTGATGTGAAGCCACCAAAATATTAGTAAGTTTGAAACGTATTTTGATTCAAGTTCAGGGTACAGACATTGGAAGACTAATGCATATGAAGTAGGGCTGCAACGATTTGCGATTGGATAAACTATACGATACTCATCCAATGATATGATTTATCCCCATTATTATTGCGATTCATTTATTAGAGAAGGAAAGAGAAAAAATAGTAGAAATTTGTAAAATTACTAACAATTTTGTCACTATTAAGCACTTGAGAACATTTAAAAGTAAGGAATTGTGAAAAAAATCTCCATTTTTAAAGTCAGAAATAAATTTTTGTAAATTTTGATATGACAATCATACTTGGAAAATGAAAACATGACACAATTTCTTATACACACATGGATTCTGTGTCATTAGTTATTAAAGGGGTCTAAGAATTAATTGTGCCGATACATCACGATTATTTTAATCCAACGCAATACATAGATAAGAAAGAAAGAATAGCGGTTCATCGATTCATTGGTGAATCTTTGCAGCCCTAATATGAAGCCTGATGTTTTAGAAAGTTGTGAGGTTAAACAACCAACCAAGTGCAGTACAGACTGTCTATATAATTAAGCATGTTCCATGATGAGCATAAATCATTTTGATATATAAAAGCTACAGACAGAAATAGTTTGGCTTGAATGTTTGAAATAATGCCTATGTCTGAATTCTATCATTTCATTAAGCTAAGATTCCATATACGCGTCATACGGATCCGTCATGCGTAATCCGGCATGCGTTAAAAATCGAAATGGTTGGTTTAAGAGGGTATGATTCCATATATGCAGAAGCGGTATCCGTCAAATGGTCTCTGTCATGTGTAAAAAAAAAATCGCCGGTGTAGCGATTTTTGACGCATCCGGACGCCTTTCAGCGTGGAGATCTCCCAAATGTGAAGTGTTATGTGGGGATTCCCTGTCTTTTTTATGCACCTAAGCATCCATCTGTCTAGAAGTGCGTCAAAAGAAAGATAACGCATACCTTTAACGCGTATATGGAATCATATTTGACGCATGACGGATCCGCAAGGGCCATTTATGTCCGCATGACGCATCCGCATGACGCGTATATGGAATCTTAGCTTTACACTCAGACAATTCAGGGTTTACCATTGGGTATTTGATGAAGTATATTGATGGATTTAAGAAAAAAGCTAAAAATTTACAAATTACAATCAGAATTCAGAAAATAATACAAAAAGAATGATTTTAAATTAAGTATCATCAATGATATGTTTCTTTACAATTCCATATCTATATCAATTTCACTGTGCTAGCTTTCCAACAGAAATTCTATCTTAAATTGCCCATAGTTTCCATCTTCGGGGGACTAGTACCTACTGGGGTGCCATCCAAAGCTGTTGATCATAACATGTCCCTAATGTTCTAATTGTCCATCGGACATCAAGTATAGGCAATTTATATTACCCAACTTCACCCAGTATACAGCACAAGAGGTATTTGAGAGGCCCTGTAGACAATTTCTTAATTACAGGTTTGATAATATAATCATTGTAAGACATTTAGAAGTATCACAGAACATTAAGAAACAACAGTTATATGGATATAGACTTCTATTGATTATTGAACACAACGTTTCATTACGCATACAGTTTCATTACACATACAGTTTCATTACACATACAGGAAAATGAAATGAAATGAATGGAGTTTTAAAGGCCTAATTATACTGAGCGCGACCATTGATTGGCTAATGTAAATAGTTCGCGCAGTCTTTTCCCAAAAATTCGCTCTGGAGACAATCTCCGCGGTTTTCCGCGCGAACAAAAATTCGGTCGCATTCGCGTTCGCCCCTAGTATAAACGACCTCATACAAAATCAGGTTAAGCAATCCAATGCGAACGCCGCGTTCGTAGTCGCGCTCAGTAGACCTTAAGTCCTACTTTTCTGTACACACAGGAGAATGTTCTCAATCAATCATCACTTGAGAACGTTACCTGTATGTGAAATGAAACGTTGTGTTTAAATAATAAATAGAAGTCAATATCCATAAAAACTGTTGTTTCTTAAGGTTTGATAAAGTCTTTAAATGACATTTAAGAATTTTAAATATGATATAGAGACATAGTTTATAAAACAAAATCATTGGTTAAACTCTTATTCTTCCTTTCAGCGTGTTTTTCCATGCCTGAGGACGACAGGGGAACGCATCGAAACGTTGCATTAAAATTTAACCAGTGATTGTTGTTCCATAAAGCTCTGTCTATATGATTGTATCTGTGGTATATTTGGACAGACTTGGGTGTGGCTCTAGCTTGGCATACCTGTTTCAATCTAATATTGTTACATTAATTTGTACAAATTTAAAACTTGGGTTTCAGAAATAATAATCATACCGTACAAATAATTACAGTGGTTTGGTTGAATTAAACATTTACATTAACTAGTGCTTCAACGAATCCGTCTAAAAATATAAAACAGAATTACAGTAGGGATGTGGCAAAATTAAGGATAACATCATAGGCCCGTTTACATGAGTTGGGCTTGGACCAGTGGATTTACTGACCCAGGTTGACTCCAGAGTTAAAAAATCCAGGGTCAACTCTGTTCATGTTTACACGAGGACAGTCTGCTATGGTCGCAATTTCAGTGAAGCCTGGGCAACCAATGACGTGGCAGAAGCCATCTTTCGGCATAAACTGCTGAACCGGGGTCGAATTGGAGTCAACATGTGAACAACTGCCCCCGGGCCAACCTTTGGTGGACCCGGAGATTTTACTCGCCCTTACGGCCCTTATATGGGGTATTTAGAAATATTAAAACAGAACCTAATAAAACATGTTGTTGTTAGTCAGAGTTTCACGCTATGCGATCTTCAGACAACTGACCTAAATAATTCAGCCTGCGTCCCTACTGAAATTGGACAAGTAGAAGTTATTCTCATAAAAAACCAACCACCATTTTAGAAGTATTGCATCTTCCCTTATACCTTTCCATGCTTTAAGGTGCAGGCACACGGGCGTCCCCGACAGGATTTATAAAACTAAACAAGTTTGATAATTGTCTCTCATAGTCTATCATCCAATCAGACTCATTTTCCTTTCAATTGCAAGCTCTGCACGTGATTATCGAAATGGTGGAAAACGACCGACTGGAGATTTTTGTCGTGTGCCCGTGCCAGTCGTTGAAACTCTTGACAAGACTCTAGTTGGTGAAATGAAAAAATTATCTGACCAAGACCGTTTGTGTGCCTGCACCCTTACTAAGCATCCAAAATTCTCACCTGATGGCGTCTTCGTTCGATAAAATCTGATAATCGTGAAGTGAGGATGGGTTTTGGGCGTAGCGGAGAATTTCTGGGTACTAATGCTTTACGAATCCAGGCACTTTCTAAACATGTATGAGCTGTTGGTCGCCGACTGAAAAATAAAAATCATAGAATTTGATGATAACAACGGTAGGTAGATGACAAGTTAACATTCGCTTCCAGCGGATGCTGATATCGCAAACTAGGTAGTTGTTGGTAGATGACAAGTTGACGTTCGCTTCCAGCGGATGCTGATATCGCAACTAGGTAGTTGTTGGTAGTCGTAGTAGTTGGTAGTTGATTACAACTAGAATTTTATCTAATTATACCTTTCATTGCCACCCACAATTCTACAGCTAAAAATGCCTCTGTGACTGTCAAACGCTTTTATAAAAAAAGCAACACTGAAAAAACCGAAAAACAAAACAAAACCATAACTCACCTTAAATCTTCAATTAAAATAAGACGCATGAGGTCCTTGGCTTCCGGTGATATTCCAGCGAAGTATTCATCGGGGAAACAGTAGTCGTTACGAATGATATTAGAACACGTTTCTTCTTGACTTTCATCCAGGAACGGTGATACACCACTTAATAATACATAGATTATAATACCAGCACTCCTACAAATATTCAAATTTAAACCTAAATGATGCAGAGCAAGAGCAAGAGCAAGAGCAAGAGCAAGAGCAGAGCAGAGCAGAGCAGCATTCATTTCTTAATGCATAGATAATAATACCAGAACTCATACAAGGCATCAGAAATTCAGATTGAAAAACACAAAATTAAATAGTTAATAACTAAATAGCACATTGATTTATTTGCAAGTCAGTCACAATCTACTGAAGTCAGTCACAATCTACTGAAGTCAGTCACAATCTACTGAAGTCAGTCACAATCTACTGAAGTCAGTCACAATCTACTGGAGTCAGTCACAATCTACTGGAGTCAGTCACAATTTCATTTGCCAATGACTTCAGGGTCTAATTATAAACCAATTAGGGACTTTATTTTCCAAAATTGAACTAAATCAAAATTCAGATTTTAAGAAATACATTAATCTGATTGGATAATACAACTGCATTTAAAATGTGTTTGACCAATCAGATGATAGCAACACTTAAATCATTTTAAAGTTTTTAAGAATTAGGCCCCATATATAATAGAGGTTACTGGGTTAAATAATATCAATGACAAATCACACAATTGATGTCAAAATTCAATACAGCATAAACCCCTTTACCCCTTTACTTCACCCTTAAAACTTTACCCCTTTACTTCACCCTTAAAACTTTACCCCTTTACTTCCCCCTTAAAACTTTACCCCTTTACTTCACCCTTAAAACTTTACCCTAAAAACTTCACCCCTAATCAACTTACCAGACATCAGTGAGGAGACCGACTGGAGTAGAACTAACTATTTCTGGAGCCATGAATTCAGGATTGCCCACCATTGGATGTATATAATAATTATTATAAATATGTCTGGCGTCACCAAAATCTATCAGTTTTACACTCGTAGACATTGGTCCTACCTCTACTAATAAATTCTCAGGCTGCAAAACAAATCAAGGCTCATCATTAACCAAAGCCTAAAAAATTTTTTTTTTTCATCTATTGCCACCATTCAAACTATGGAATAGATGTCTGAATTTGCTTATCATGAGGTATATTTGTTCATGGCATTTTTTTTAATTACAATAAACTGGAGCTCATCTCAGGCTGCTGACACGTAAGATTTCATGAACGTACCTTAACATCTAAATGTGCAATGCGACAGTTATGTAAATAATGAAGAACATCTAAAAGTTGACGAACGTATTCAGCAGCTTGTAACTCATCAAAATGAGGCTTGGAACAGATATACTCAAATAACCGACCATGGGGTAAACTGAAATAAAATATAAAATTTTAGTAGGATGAAAGTAATATGGAACTCTCCTAAAAAAAAAAACATTGAAGGAAAAGGTTTTAGAGATTTTTTGTTAAATATCAAGTATCACCAACAACATACTTAAAGCGTTTTTGTTTCAAGCCAATCGGATTTGATTAGGCCTGATACGTATTAGTTTCACACCCTTATCAAATCAGATTATACCAAATGATGTATCTGTTTTAACTCTAATTCAAATCGACCAACCCTACTTGTGAGGTGGTTTAATGAATTTGGTTTTGATTAGGCAAGAAGGTGGCTCTCGAAGAAGATGAAAACATGGGAGTACAATGTTTCCTAAAGACGGCCGCTAATTTTCTTATCGGTTCTCTAATCGACATATTTGTTTCAACTCTCAAATCTGATTTGATTAGGACATAATCATTGATTAGATACTTATATCCGAATAGGTTGAAACAAATACACTTTAAAAGTTGGTCAAAATTTTATTCCAGCATTAAGCATTACAAAATGGCAGCCAAAAGAGTCAAATTGGGATCAATGTAACAATAAATAAACAAAGAAGGTTTCAGTCACAAGCAACATAATACATTGGCAAGAATTTTAGCCCTTTAAACTGATGCCATGGCAAGTACTTCTGAAAGTCTGCCCTGTGTCTGCTATCAACCCCTAAGCCTACGTATCCCTGCCCATGCCTGGCTAACAACTTTTGAAAGGTGTAATTTTTAATATTTCCCTCTAACGCTGGGCTGGAACAATGTCTTAATGTGACAGTGGAATACTTTAGTATTGGTTAAGCAAGTTTGATTGTCATCTGCTCTGTTTCAGAGATGAAATGATATGAGTTTTACCTCCAACCTGTCTGTTATTTTGGTTCAGTGAAGAAGGCAGACTTATGATACAAAATTGTTACAGTGCATATTTGTGAATTTCATTAGGGATGGTCCCTAGGGCTTTCTCCTGATGGGTTACTTACTATTGCATAATGATGATGAGATTCTGTTTGGCTTCGTACAAATCAAAGACTCTAGCTAGACTGGGATGTTGTAGACTCTGTAATGTATTAAATTCTGTTTCCGTAGCCTGTTTACTCAGTAATCTACGCGTTATACATTTAGCAGCTAGTTCCTGACCAGAACATTTCTGTATACATTTTCTGACCACTGCAAAACGACCCCTGAAACACAAACAGACAAGCTTAGCTTAAAATTCCTCACATTTTCTAGTTTTATAGTGTGCTTCTTCATTTTAAATGAAATGAATGGAGTTTTACGTCCTACTCTTCTGCACTTCTTCATTTTAAAGTCATATAGCGAGTTATTTGGTGAAAGAGACAGATAGGCCATTTTTTTGACAAATCATACATACTTTAGTCTCAGAAACTGGAATTTTTTAATAGTGTTCACAGCTCACCGTCGAAAGTTGAGCCTTGTCTGTCCAGAATAGTCTGGGAAAACTAAAGGAGCAATACAGATCAAGGAAGTTAAGAATGGAATTATATGCTTAAATTTTCACAAATACATTTTTGAATAATATAGCTTTTTAGAAAATCAGTTGATAACTGAGGTAGCTTTATCCTAAATTTTATTTATATTACAGGGCTTCATGATAGCAATTTCATACATTCTTTATAAAAACTTCCAAACTAGAAAAACTTTAAAAGATCATCAGGGGTTTGTCATTTTTGTTCACAGGATGTTCAGAAAAATTGAGGTGTTCTAATCTAAATGAAGTTGAAGACTGAGATACTTTTATCTGAATCTCCCAGGGAACTGATGGAATTGAGAATTTCAAGATTTCTGCTTATTTTTACCTGCAGATTTCTCCAGCATCCATGAAGTCATTTTCAAACGTGGCTTTCCAGATGGCGCCTGTAGCTTCTTCACGTTCACTCAGTTCTAGAAATACAAATTGCATTAAGTTTGAAAGTGAGGAAGGTTGAAAATCATAAGTTTAAACCATATTTATTACAAATGTATACGTGCCTCATCTCAGTTATTGACAACAAACTAAAAATGAAATGAAATGAAGTCCTACTTTTCTGCACCAAGTGGGCTAATGAAGACGGACAACACCATACAGGGTGCAATTAGGAGAATTTTGCCAGGACAGCAACATTAGCCTGCTCTTTTTTGATTTCCAACTGTCCAAGGATCTTTAACGTGCACAGCCTTGGTTTATTGTCCCATCCGAACGACTAAGCAAAAAAACTAAATGGCATAATTTTGCCGATAATTTTGCTGATGAGCTGATGAGATGAGGAGCTTCTTATTTCATTTTTTACTTAATAAATATTCAATAAAAACCAGAAGTAACAACATGGTCAAATACATACTAGTGCTTCTAAGTCAATTCAAATATAATTCATAAATAAATTAATGGCAACAAATTTGAAATACACAAGAAATGGAAAATAATGAGGATATGCATGTTGTAACATGTTGTTTTCCTCTTCACATCAACTCTAGTCACCAACTTGGCAGATCATCTGTCTATTAACTATGTATCAGGTATGATGAATAAACCAACTCTGTTATAAATACTCAACAGTAGTCCTTATTGCCTCAGCAGATATCATAACACATGTACATCAAGTGCAGTGACCAGAAATTAACAATTAGATAAAGGGTTTTATTTATGTAATACACGGAACTGGGCAATTACTGGGTAATAACTCACCATGTTCAGTAGGAATGGATACATTATCAGAGGTAGAACTGGGTTCACTAATACCCACAGCGTTGTTGGCACTCACCCGGAACTCGTAGCTTAAACCGGGTTCCAGGTCACTGATCACTTGTGACGTATTTGGCACATACGGGATGGCAAGTTGCCAGTGTTCTAAACCTGTAATATCAAGACAAAAATATTTGCCAAGCTTGTTCAACTAGAACTTCAAAATGTCTGACTGCAATTGTTGTAAGAAGAGTAAATCTATTTCAATGATTGACCACAAACTAAAGCTGTATTACTTTCCATGTAGATTCATTGATGTCAATTAATATTTGCTAGGTAATCAATTTCTGATTAAAATTTCAACTTCAGGCAATCTCTTTAAAGGAAGGTGTTTGTACTCACCTATCTCCCTATATTCTACAGTATAACCTTGTATTTGACCACATTGAGATGCAAGGGGAGGAGACCATTCTAAATGAACAGCTGTACCAACTTGGTTTCTTATCACAGGTTTACCGGGCGCCCCAGGACGATCTGAAAATCACAATTTTAAACCTTATTTAGCACAAATTTGCCTAATAATTTTAATTTTAATTTCATCACAGATTAATAACTGCCCACTGTCAGGTTTGTTATCATCCCTTCAAGATGCCTGCAATTATTGCTTATTCTACCGTGTTCCTCTTTAGCAAATTAACGTCATATTCAAGACCATAATAATCAGTTTTCAAAAAATATGAAGAAAAACACAAAATGAGTACAGCAAACGTCAGAGATTGATAACTGTCCACTGTCAGGTTTGTTACAAAGAACCAGAGAGAGGGCTCTGTCATCATCTCTTCAACGTGTCTGCAATTATTACTCATTCTATTCTGGGAGCCGTGGTGGCTCAGTGAGTTAGACAATTGCTTGCTAACCTGAAGGTCCAGGGTTCAATTCCTGCATAGGTCGAGATAATACCTTTGGATTTTTCAACCCAGTTTCCCTCTGTCAGTGATGCGGGTAAGAGGGGCTGACATGGAAAAAGTGTCTAGTGTCTCTGTGCACGTTAAAGATCCCTCGACAGTTGGAAATCGAAAAAGAGCAGGCTAATGCAAAATTTCCCTCATTGCACTCTGCATGGCGTTGCCCGTCTTCATTAGCCCGCATGATGCAGAAGAGCATTTCATTTTTACTCTTTCTGCTGTGTTCCCCTTTAACAAGTAAACACCATATTCAAGACCACGATAATCAATAGTTGCCTGTACTCATTTTGTGTTTTTCTTCATATTTGCCTGGCAACCCATCTCAAATGATAAATGTTGTGTTGATACCTACCTAAAACTATTAATGTACACCTTGTTACGACTGAACCCATTTCACTACTGGCAAAACATGAGTATTCACCACTATCAGATACAGATACTTGAGATAGCTACAATAATAATAAAAAAAAGTGAAATAAAAAATAAATAAAAAAAGTTCCAGAGTGATACAGATACTTGAGATAGCTATAATAATAATATTCAAAGTTCCAGAGTGATACAGATACTTGAGATAGCTATAATAATAATATTCAAAGTTTCAGAGTGATACAGATACTTGAGATAGCTATAATAATAATATTCAAAGTTTCAGAGTGATACAGATACTTGAGATAGCTATAATAATAATATTCAAAGTTCCAGAGTGATACAGATACTTGAGATAGCTATAATAATAATATTCAAAGTTCCAGAGTGATACAGATGCTTGAGATAGCTATAATAATAATATTCAAAGTTTCAGAGTGATACAGATACTTGAGATAGCTATAATAATAATATTCAAAGTTTCAGAGTGATACAGATACTTGAGATAGCTATAATAATAATATTCAAAGTTCCAGAGTGATACAGATACTTGAGATAGCTATAATAATAATATTCAAAGTTTCAGAGTGATACAGATACTTGAGATAGCTATAATAATAATATTCAAAGTTTCAGAGTGATACAGATACTTGAGATAGCTATAATAATAATATTCAAAGTTTCAGAGTGATTTTCATGGAATTTGATATCTACAAAAAAAGCAATAATATATTCCAAATATTCCAAATAAGGCTGTAACATTCTGTACATCTCAAATAAGCAACAGTCAAAGATGCACCTCAATGAAAAGGAAACCCTGTAGTCTTGCTTGTTGAGTCCATGGACTGCAAAGCATTCAAATTGTCCAAATTGATCAAAAATAAGATACTAAATTACACATTATAATTTTTTCAAAAAACATTCCATAAAACTTGACTTACCTGTAATGTTGCAACCCCATCTTCATTGTACATCAACATAGTTCTAGGACCAATGGCAATAGGCGTAACATCTTGGAATCTCCAGGCTATATTTGGACGAGGGCGACCACATATTTTACAGGTTAATACGGCCATATCACCGGCCTGGACTGTTACGCTGGTTAGAGGATGCTGTACCACAGGAGGCATTTCATACGCTAAATCTGGACCCACAATCTGAGAGAGAAAAAAAATAATCTACTTAAATATTGCTTCTTTTTTATGGGAAATGAAAATAAATGTCACAAAACCATCAGCAAATAGATGAAATAAAAGTCATCTTTTGACTTTCGGCCCATCAGAAAATGGATGAAATAAAAGTCATCTGGTGACTTTCGGTCCATCAGAAAATGGATGAAATAAAAGTCATCTGGTGACTTTTGGCCCATCAGAAAATGGATGAAATAAAAGTCATCTGGTGACTTTCGGCCCATTAGAAAATGGATGAAATAAAAGTCATCTGGTGACTTTCGGCCCATTAGAAAATGGATGAAATAAAAGTCATCTGGTGACTTTCGGCCCATCAGAAAATGGATGAACTAAAAGTCATCTGGTGACTTTTGGCCCATCAGAAAATGGATGAAATAAAGGTCATCTGGTGGCTTTCGGCCCATCAGAAAATGGATGAAATAAAAGTGATCTGGTGACTTTTGGCCCATCAGAAAATGGATGAAATAAAAGTCATCTGGTGACTTTCGGCCCATCAGAAAATGGATGAAATAAAAGTGATCTGGTGACTTTCGGCCCATCAGAAAATGGATGAAATAAAAGTCATCTGGTGACTTTCGGCCCATCAGAAAATGGATGAAATAAAAGTCATCTGGTGACTTTCGGCCCATCAGAAAATTGATGTAATAAAGGTCATCTGGTGACTTTCGGCCCATTAGAAAATGGATGAAATAAAAGTTATTGAAGATTTACAAGTGATGGTTGGTCCAGTGGAATATTGGACTGACTTTGGAAAGCAACTCACTGCTGTATGTATCATCTAAGGTTACGACAGCTGATGAGATCCTTCTCAAGCACGGGACTATTAATTTATACCCAAGATACCAATTGATATAAGAAAGAAAGAAAGAACTATATTTTACAAGAATAACAATTTAGGTTCACAGTTAAGGTTTCTTTCTACCAGCTGGTCCTTGGCCAAACCTCTTGGCATTGATCTTTCCCAGATTATCCGTACCCATTTACAGCTGGGTCGACTGGAATTATGAGTGAAGATGACTTATTCAAGGTCACCAGACTTTCACATGCAGATCGACATCGGAACCCCTAGCCACCATTCGCTCGACGTAACCAAGCAACTGATGTCATGTAAAGAAACAACGCTATAACCTGATATATCAAGATTTACAGTGATAAAATAACTTCAGGAGACTACAAATCTTGTATCCTCTGCCTGAGAACAAATCTATTTGCTTCTTTCCACTATGTATCTTAGTTGTGAAAGTGACTAATTCCCTGTTAACACTGAACCTACCTTGACTTTGGACTTCCCCTCCCTCCCGAGAGATTTAGTTCTACGTTCCAGGCTGTTGGTATCCCCTGCCCCACCACTGGAACTTCCACTGGGGTTGTTTTTATCTTTAAAACTAGGCTTCTTTAATTTAAACATCTGCCACGATAATTTTCTGAAATAAAAAAATTAATTCTTATAGCAAATAATATATCAACATAAGAAGGGATAAAATATCATTAGCTTTGCTACTTAATAGAGCCAAATTTCATCTATCCATAGCACTTTTCAGATTCCAAATCTGAAAAAATGTACCATGGGTTGTTTTAACTTCCACTGCCATTTCAAAGGCAAATGTGAAGTCCTATTTAAGTCCTGAAAAGAGATATCTGACACAATTTTTCATCATGAAATATTTCCTCATCTATAATTGGTGTGAAGAAATCATTAGCTGTTACCAATGTTTCACCAATATGATTTTTGAATTTGTGGTTTCGTTTTGCAGTTCAGTAGGCTATTTGGTTTATTTATACCAATGGCTGAAATTGAGCTCTATCAGTAGATGTAACAAATATTTGTCCAGTTATTTTTCTTACAAGTTAAATGGTGACTATACTGAGATTGATTAAAATCAAATACAAAGCAGTAAAAAACCAAGTGAAAACTGAAATAGTGGCTAAGGTAGAGAGTTCTATTGACAATTTCGTTCCTGATCCCAAAAAACTTTATTAAGTTGGTTCAGAAATACATGACCTTTTTTAGTGAGAAGAAATTTGACGAGAAGAGAATGAAAGAAATGTAACTTGCATCAAGCTTCATCAACAGAATGATTCAAAATAGATTCATACATGAATAAATCAACAAAAGATAATTCAACAAATATCATTCCAAAAATTTTGAAAAAGTTAGCTTTAAATTCAAAAAATAAAAGCAAGCAATTTGATTTATATTTTCTCTGTTGAATTTCATGTTTAAAACAAAAGGTTAAAAAAAAAAAATTCCTAATCTTCTAATTGTTGCAGCTCTTCAAATAAAAAAACAGATAGGGTCATTATCAGGGCAAGCTATGTGTTCCAAACATGTAAGGATGTCTTGCCTTGCTAGCAACTGTAATTGTAGCAACTGTGGTAGATATTATATTCAATAAATGTATCAAGTTTCAAGTGTTTTCAGCTAACAGCTTGATTCATAGCTTTGGGACAATCTTGAGTTCAATCAGGCCCCATAGCCAGACTTGAGGGGAAAGTAATATATTCTGAAGGGTAATGGTGTATGGTGTTTAGTTGTAGAAATGGAATTGATAGGTTGTCAGATTTTTTTCGAAGGGGCATTGCCTCTGGGTAGCTACAGGCCTGAGTTAAATAAGACTTTGCACTCAGATTCTAGAGTTTACAGCTAGATTGATTAATGACTGATATAAATCTAAAAAAGAAAAAACATACTGATCCTACAAATAACTTACTTTAAACTGCCGTCACCTTCTTTAGGACCGAGGATATTTCCTGGAATCCATCCCTCGGCTGCGGGACAGTGATTGTTGGCAGGACGGTGGACTAAAAACATATTATACTGATTGGTTCCTAATATTTGTACAACTTCCCCACGGGTTACTGAGATCTCGTCTTCTTTTATAGCTAAATAATCACAGATAATACGACCTTGGGTTATTCCCCCTTCAAACGGCTGCACCTACAAATACACAGAGAATGTTTTAGTATAGTCTATATACTTTGAAAGGTACAAAGTAAGGGACCAATAGATTTTTGTACAATACATATCATTCTTCTAACATCTGATGTTTTTCCTGCAATCACAATAGGTTTCTGCTGGAAGATGTTAGTTTAAATGAACAGTTTATCACTTTAAGCAAAAGGATGAACAAAATAGCCAGGGTTTCTATGGGCAGTCTGGTCTATCAAAAAGCAAAAAGAAAAGCAATCTTCCATGAGGAATTTCATTTCAATAGATACCACTTCATATATTGTAGTCTGTGCAGAGAAATATCTGCCTAATTTAACAAACAATTTTACATTTAGATTTTTCTACAGAAGAAAGCCATTTTTAACCAATCAGTTTTGTGTTTGTGTGAGAATCAAAATAATTCAGCTGAAATACCGTTTAATAATTTTCATAAACCATCACTCATAAAATTTTCCTCACGATCTTCGCGAAGAAATTATTATCAAAACTGCCATTAAATAAGTTTCTCCTTAATGAAGTCGAAGCCAGAAAGTTTTCATCAGTTTGTTGTTTTGTTGAATGTTAACATCCAATACCAAGTCTAGTTTGTCAGTGATTCATTCTGTTATTATATTCTTCATTGCTGTATTAACTCATTCATTCCTTCAATCATTCCTTTATGTCTTAAAGATTGACTCATTCATTCATTCACTCATTCATTCATTCATTCATTAATCAACTCTTTCATTTAGTCATTCATTCAATCATTCACTGTTTCATTCATTCAGTCAGTCATTCAAGTATTAAACATTTCATTCATTCACTAATCCACTCTTTCATTCATTCATTCAATTATTCAATGTTTCATTCATTCATTCATTCATTCATTCAGTTATTCAAGATTTCATTCATTCAATTATTCACTGTTTCATTCATTCATTAAGTTATTCAAGATTTCATTCATTCAATTATTCACTGTTTCATTCATTCATTCAGTCATTCAATTATTCAGTTTCATCCAGTCATAGTTTCATACCTTCATTCATTCATTCATTCATTCAGTATCGTTCACTCATTCATTCATTCATTATGAATTTAGATAAATAGTGTCATCCACTATCATGAATAGTAGGGTCCTACTAAAATAGTATTTTATTCTCATATCAATCATTTCACAGTCATACTGTGTTTATTCTTACCAATCCAATATCACTTCAAGTATTGTGGTCAGACATTACGTACAAAAGAGTTCTTTCCCTTTGATCAATTATAACAGAGGCTCAGATGGAAATGGAAAACAGTAGGCTGCTTTCCTGATAAAATTTCTCTCATTGCACATTTCCGTCTTCATTCACCAATCTGGTGCAGAAAAGTAGGACTTAAACTATATTTCATTTCTGTGTTTGAGAATTAATTGGTGAAGCTTTAACAATAAGCATGTTTATCAAACTCGCGATCTGTAGACATGAGAAGAAGTTTTACTTGTTCAACTTCAGTAGGGACGCAGACTGAAAATAGGTCAGTTGTCTGAAATCGCATAGCTTGAAACTCATAACAACATGTTTTTTTTAGGTTCTTTTTTAATACTTCTGCATGTTTTATCTATTCAATTGGTACTTATGTTACATTATGTAAACATAAAAGAATTGCTTACAGTTGAAAATGGAGAAATAATAAATTGGTTAAATTGGTCTGTATTCATTTCACACTGTCTTCATTAGCCCGAACTGGTGCAGAAATAGAGGGTACACTACTTAAAATTTTAATTCAAGAGTTGAAAAATAAATGTAAAGTTCTAAAACAAATTTGAAAAATTAGGTGCCTTGGGTTTTAGCCCTTCTTAAGAAAAACTAGCATTAAATTTGCCCAACAAGTGAAGAAGATTAGAGTATTCTCCCTTTGATCTCTACATTCGACTCAGCTCGTATTAAAGATTAAGAATTCTATCAGTGTTGAGGTCAGGTAAATGTCAGGTTCCATCGAGAAATCTTGTCAAAGTTGTATCAATTATTAATTCTGTCTTCCAGTACACAATCCTAGACTCACACTTCATTATAATCAATAGACTTGAACTATCCAGTCATACATAATTAGAGACAGGGTCAAGCTATAGCCAGACAATAGATCAGATGGCTAGACTCTCTACAAGAGTTTAAACTAATTGCATTAAGGCTATAATTGACACGACTAGATCTCCAACATAATGTATGGGAGCCACGATGACTCAGTGATTTAGATGCTTGCTCGCTAAGCTGAAGGTCTAGGGTTCAATTCCTTTGGATTTTTCAACCTGGTTTCCCCTTGTCAGAGATGCAATTAAGAGGGACTGATATGGAAAAAACTTCTAGTCGTTCGGATGGGACAATAAACCGAGGCTTGTTTTCTACAGGCAGTTCACATTAAAGTTCCCTCGACAGTTGGAAATTGCAAAAAGAGTAGGCTTATGCTGCAGTCCTGGCAAAATTTCCCTCATTGCACACTGCATGGCGTTGTCGTCTTCATTAGATATTGATATTTTGCAGAAAAGTAGGACGTAAAACTCTATTCATTTCATTTCATTTTTTGCATGTGTTGTCTTTCTAGAAAGGCTATCAATCAGAGTAATTGAAATTAATGGAGTTTTACATCCTACTTTTCTGCACCATAACAATCAAAGAGTAGCCACAACATTACAAACTTGGTTTGTTTAAAAGGAGAATGAAATGTAATTCAGAGGTTTAAGTGGACATTTTAAAATGATAAATTCAGATTGAAGAAAATACAGTCACAAACAAGCTTGACAATTAACTCGGATTTGATTTTTGTGTGAACTTAAAAATTCTAAAATATTTAGCAACAACAATGTTCTAACCGAATCATAACCTAAAAGGTCCCAATTTCAAATCTTACAAGAAAATGTTTCTGCTTTCTGGCAACAAAACTTTCCACAGACAAATCCATCAGTAAATTATTTCGATCCAATTCCAGATTGTGCCAGATTGTTAAAGCAATGCTTGTTGGTTGGAGACGATATTTCATATTGATAATTTGTATGTCTGATATTTTTAATTATTTAATATTATAAAACAATTATATTTTGCTTGTACGTTTCGCTGAATTGATAATTTCCTGATGGGTTTACACCTTTATGTACCATCTGGTATGTAATAATTTAAACTAATAACATGCCAGTTCTGATGAAACCAGAAGTAACAAGAGGTATGGTAATTAAAACTGCTAATTCACCAGGTGGATAAAAAATTCAGAAATTAACCAGATTTATTATCTTAAAGGGACAGTTGCTCCATTTTGGGGAGTTGATTTTGGTCTTGAATATATGTAAATAGTCTTCAGAAGTACTAGAAATATACGAAAAAAGCATAATAATTCCTTTAAAAATACTTCATACTAGGAATTTTACTCACTATTTCTATATACCAGTATGTCTTTTCTATATATCACAGAGTATCTTAAATTGACGAATCATCATTTTAACATTCAAACGCAAATAATTCTGGACACACAAAGGCTCAAATTTCAACGGTGGGCTGTGAACACTATTACTGATTGGCTTAGCAAAAAAATTCCCGTTTCTGAGACTAAAGTATGATTGGTCCAAAAAGAATGGTGCATCTGTCCCTTTAAAATGAAATTCTACAACGTATTTCCTGCTCCTGATTGGGCTAATGAAGACAATTGAAGAAATTGAGTGTACAATGAGGGAAATTTCTCCAAGACAGAAGCATTAACCTACTCTGTTTCATTTTTTTCAAGGGATCTTATGGCATAGCTCTGAAACCTCTGCATTATATTTCAGTGCATCATATCCCGAATACGGGTTTTGACATTGTCTTATTAACCTGTATTAAACTAAGCACGCTAAACTTCGTTTTGGGGGCGTGGAAATGAGATTGGTGCCATTTGAATCTGACCAATCAGATCGGTGGAACATAAATGAGGTCATGTAAACAAAAACAATAAACCTATTTGCCGCCGCCCGTTCGCAAACAAAGCATCATAACAAGTGAAATGGATAGATTGGATAATATTTAGCTATGAAAACGTAATTTTTCTCACTTGTATTACCACAGTCTCTAGGAAGTATTACAAATGGGGGTGTGGTTTAGACACAATGATTTCAGTGAGGCAAAATGGAGTATTATCTCATCTCAGGATTGGATGTTTGCTATGTCAGCCTCTCCAACCAGTATCCCTGACAACGGGAAAATATCGGTTGAATAATCCAATAGTATCATTTCAACCATGTGAAATGTCTGAATTGATCCCTGGACCTCTCAGTTAATGAGAAAACCCACTCCCTCTTTTATTATTACATCTGTGTATTCTGTCTTCATATTTCTCCCAACATCTGTTATTTCTGCAAATTTAGTTTTTATTTAAAAATTCAGGGAATATCTACTATTACATCTGTTTTTTATGCTTATTAACTATCAACTTCTGCTCATTTTTTTCTCCAAGTTTCTGAGTTCATTCAGTTTTAGATATTACTTACTGATGAAATATGATCAAGGTGTTTTTAAAATACAGACATGTAATCAAAATGAGTAAAAACAGAAAAACCTTCAACAGTCTAGTCTGAAACATATTATTTTTTGTTTAGCCAAGTTTTTCTGCCTCCAAGCAAGGAGAACTGTGTCCAAAATAAATATCAGAGAGTAACTAAGAGATAGCAAGTGCTAGTTCCACACCGTCATC